TTAAATATTTTTTCGGTTGGATATCTACGGTCTTTTTTAATTGCAACTTTGATAATTGTGTTTTGACAGGTTTGAAGTAGGGAGAGAATATTGTCATAGGCACCACCCCAACCTATTAAACCATATGTGATTTGYGATTCAACAAGAGCTAAGTAAAATATTCTAATGTCTTTAGGTGGTAGAATATCACGAAGTTGTTTTATTATATAAACTAATTTTTTCAACTTATTACTAAAAAAATATGTTAAAATTATGTTTATTACATCAAAATATTGCAATTATTCCCACTACGCCATAGCATATTTTCAATATCATTATTGTAGCGCCACGGAAAAGTTAATAATATAAATCCAAATTAATTTACGGCAGCCCGCGGCTGTATGACCTCCTACGAATGATATGGCGTGGTAGCCGGCGGTCTTAAAATTATCAATACCTAATTATTTTTATACGGACGCTAGCGGCCGCATGGCAGTCAACGTGTCAAAGAATCTAATTCATGCAAATAACATATTTACTTACTTTTCATTAATAAACTACCTAAAATTAAAATTATGAATAACATTCTAATAATATGTATTTTTCAATACTTATTATTTTCTACATTCTTGTAAATTATAAGTAAAAACATATATTTTTACAACTTACAAGCTTTGATAAAAAAAAGCCGGTAAGTGGATGTCGCTCTGCTGTACAGTAGGTTACAAGTGAGTCTCTTTAATGGATTGTATTAAATTCAATGATCTTTGTATACAAAAAACGATTCAGAGTGAAGACTGTTGATCAGACTAGGATATTTTAACTAACTAATTCATATATTCTCAATTCAATAAAATGTTGTAAAAATTTGAACCTAAAATGGTTATGAAAAGAAATGTGCCTATAATTTTTAATATTTTTCAATTTCTATTATATACAYTTATAGGGAATCTTTAAATTTTTTGACCCAACTAATAACATTTTATTGACATTTATAGATTAAAAACCAAAAAATTTTAAATTTAAAATATCTATAAATAACAGTGTTGAAATATATTGAAAATGTCATGTATATATAGTGAATCGTTTTAGAGTTACACTAAAAAATCAAAATACCACTTTTGAAAACTATTCGAAATTTTTGATTTTTAAACCCCTAAGTACCCACTAGATTCATTTTCCCACCAGAAAAAATACTGCTGAAGAAATTTAAAGGTGATGACATACAMACACAAAAAATAAAATAAAAAAACACATAATTGTAAAATCAATACATTCATTGTTTCTCTCAGAATCTAAAGGGAGTAATTTAAAAATGTATAACCTAATTTTATTATATTTTGAAAATATTTCAAGTAATAATGTTCTTAAGGGTTCAAAATTTAATGTCTTTTTCTGCCATTAACGCTTAATTAAAGTTGGATTTGTCTAAAGAAAATTAGGATTGATGCCGTTTTATTTTTTTGAGTTTTTAAATTCCGTAAGAGTTTTTTAAGTTTTGCTGGAATCGGTAAAACCAAATAAATATTGATTGTCCAATGAAAATTTAAACATTTTCATATTAATCTATTATAATATGAGGCAATAATGTACCTTGGTTTAATTTTTCTTCATTAACTATTTAAATTAAATATTTCATTTATTTGATTTGATAAATTATGAAAATTACACAATTATGGATGTATTTGGTTTAGAATTTTATCTATAGTAATTTAAACCAAAAAATAATTTTAGATTCTGAGCAGAGCGATGAATGTATTGATTTTACCATGATGTGAGTTTTTTTTTTGTGTCTGTCATCACGTTTTGGGGCAGTAAAAATGCTTCGATTTTTGACTTCAGTACCTCGTTCGATCAGAAAGTGAATCTAGTTGGTACTTT